TTTCTTTTCACAAAGTATCGCAGCCTGACACTCTTGTCGTTCGAAAGCTTCCATATTGGTTTAGTCAGAGAGATGTTCACTCCTCGACAGTCAACAGTGAATGACGCCACACGCGGAATTAGGCGCTCAATACCCATGATGCTTTGCGGCCTGCTGTCCAACCTCCTCTGGGTTACACAGAGTCTTTTTGAAATGGCATACATGATGCTATATATCTCTTACCATGACAATGAATTCATTTATCATTCATTTCCTCAGTTAATTATACATTTTGAATATTAAATACAAAATGGTATGATAAGGACAGTTATACATTGGGATGAAAAGTTAAGAACAAAGTACGATCTTGTTTGAAATGTTGGTTAAAGGTTCTCTTAAGGTGTCCAACTTACCATGTGATTGCAGACATAAACAGTTTCACATCCCATACAATCATAACCATATATTATATTTGCGCATTCGTTCTATCTTTAAATGGCAATCTTTATAGAGTTTTGTTTATGTTTAGCCTGCATGCAGGCATTCATCCTGAAATGCAGGTTAGTGTGCATGCTAGACATGTTTGCATATTGTGCACAGATTTAGAATATTCATTTTGCTTATACACCTGGTTTCTGAGCTACAATTCCTTGGCATCACTGGCTACTTCCAAGTGCAAGTAATTAGTCCAGCCGCCATTTATCAGTTCAAGCCATGGGCCTCTGAGGACAAAGTTACGCTATGAATATATTTAAAATACACTCATACATGTGCCCGGATTTTATTCCTGACTGAGACCCAAAATCTGTCATTACTGCCAAAATTACTGCATGCTTAATATTACTTAAAACTTGCAATGCATATTTTTTAGAATATAAATATACAACTGCAGTATAGTATTTTAATATAAATATGCAGTAAAATTTGTGTTTTAACTTAAAGATATATGATAACCAAAAAAGAGCCAAATCTTATCAATATTTTCGAATTTTAAAGCAAATTTTATCATTTTTATAAAAAATATCAAGGGGCGGACCTCTGCGAAGACATAGCTACAATGTTGTCATTGGTTAGTTTTTCAGCTTTACGATTGGCTGAATTTCCTGAGATCTGATTAGCTGTCAATAAAATTGGGTTATACTCTGACGATACACTGTCATACACAAATAACACAATTCTTACACTAAAAAATAGTGAAAATTCCTGTCACTTGATAAAAAAGCCAAAAGGCCAAACATTTTTTCAAGGCCAAACAAGAAATGAAAAAGCCAAAATCGAGTTATTTGGCCGCAAAAAAACCCACGTTATTTACTGGTACTACCAACCCTGTTAATTACTAATCTGCAAGCAAATTTTGCGTCAGATTTAATAGTCAACTAGCCAATCAGAACGCGCGAAAGCTCATTTGGTATGCAAAATTTATACTAATAGGGCATACATGTATTTTATCACTCTGCCAAAATTCCATCCAGGCATCTATCGTGAAAGCGGTACATCAAAGCCGAAGCATGCTTTCAAAAAAAACCTCAAAATTTTCACATTAAAATCCCGAATTACGAATGGCAAGCACCCAAACCTTCAAAGTTAACACTTTTCAAAGCGATCTGCCGTGGTTGCCTGCTTGTAACACGAAATGCCATCAACAGTAATATTTTTTATCGTTGGCCGGCCGTCTATCGGCACTCAAGTTTCACATTTTGCAAAATTGAATAGAATGAATACAGCCTTCAGTTCAGCGTAGGCCGCGGCTAGGACAACAAACGGGAAATGTTTTGTGCTAAGTTGTGCTCTTATGTATGACGTATGAATTATTTTCTTTACCATGATTTGCAGTTCCAAAACATGCTTTGGCATTTAAAGTGCTTTTTAGGGCTCTGGATTTACTTTTCACGCTGATTAAAATGTTATTTAAGCAATCTTCCCCTGAAACATCGCAGATTGTTTACGAAATCGGTTGAGATTCAAAAGTGGTCACAAGGTTCCCTAAAAAGTTCATCACGTGGTACATAAAATCAATCCCGCGCGTGCAACTCTCGAGGTACCAATTTACCACTTTAGCGGTTTCGATAGTAATAGAAACAATTTTTAGCTGTAATGATATATGTCAACGACAACGCAAAGCAAAAGACGACGGGCAGAGAGCATTGGAGGCATTGCGACAGCACTACTAAAGAAAGGGCAAGCCTTGAGTTATTTCACTATACACGGAGCTGACGACGCTCAAGAAAACGGACAATGAGAGCATTGTTGATTATGTCATACGGGCTGAGATGGCTGCGACAGTATTGAGAAACGCATTTGAAGCTGTAAGCGACGCGTTGTTGATCGCGATGGTGCTAAAAGGACTACCAAGTAACTTTAAGACGTTCTCGGCGACTGTTGTCCAACGCGACAAGCAAATGACGTTTGTGGAGTTTAAGGTCGCATTGCGTAGCAACGAAGAGAGCGAGAAAAGTAGAAACAGTAGCAGCGAGACGGGAGAAAATATTATGGTAACGAAGTACGGCGAGAAATTTGACGGAGCTTGTTGTAAGTGTGGAAGAAAGGGGCACAAAAAGTCTGAATGTTGGTCGAAGTCGGGAAAGAACGGAAACGGAAAGTGGTGCAGTCGCTGTAGAAACAAAACGCATGATACGAAGCAATGCCGATCAAATATGGGGAGATTCAGCGAAGAAAGCCGAAGATCAAGGAAGAACGAAGATTGAGAACAATGGACACATGTTTACATTTAAAGTTAGTGACTGTGGTACAAGTTTTAGTAACAATTTTTTAGTAGATACTGGCGCTACTAGCCATATTGTAAATGATATATCTAAGTTCATATGTTTTGATGAAGATTTCGACGCAAATGCGCACATTATAGAGCTCGCAGATGGCAGTAAGTGAAAGTCTAAGGTTGTGACAGGTAAGGGCGTTGCGAAGATTAAGCTATATGACGCAAACGGAAGTTCTCATGACCTAATTTTAAATAACGCGCTTTATGTCCCATCGTATCAGCAGGATATGTTTTCAGTCAACGCAGTAATAGAAAAGGGCGCAAGCATAAGCTTAAGCCTGGACAAGCATAACAAGAGTTTTAGGAGCGCAGATGGTGCAGTTATTAATATTGAACAAGTAGGTTGCTTATATTACCTAAACAGTATCTCATCTTCCACGAATAGTGCAGGTACAATTTTAGAGTGGCATGGAATCCTAGGACACTGTAATTTTTCGGATATTTGGAAGCTTGAAAAAGTTGTAGATGGAATGAAGATCACTAGTGATGAGGAGGTGGACTGTAAAGTATGCACGCAAGGTAAGATGACCCAGTCGAGAAATAGGACCCCTGATAAGAGAGCCAATGCCCCATTTGATTCAGTTCATTCAGATTTAGCTGGACCAATTAGTCCAGTCGGTAACGATGGTTTCAACTATGCATTGTCTTTTGTGGATGATTACTCTGGTGTTATCATGATATATTTTTTAAAGCATAAATATGATACAGTCGAAGCTACTGAACAGTTTTTAGCAGATATTGCCTCTATTGGTAAAGTGAAATGTATCAGAAGTGATAAAGGTGGGGAATTTATTGGACAGAAGTTTAAGTCTCTACCAGTGCACTGGGCCAGATGGGCCAGTACCCTGGCCCAGAGTTTTTTTTAGGTTTGGCGAACGCGAAATGCGAGAAAACGCGCGACGAAAAAGGAAAAACCTCTGGTGAATTTGTTAGCGATTCCTGGTTCGGATAAAGAATGCAAAAAATGTATAATGGCTTAATGCGTCATATTCTAAAAATATTATCCAATCATTATCCTTGACGCCAGGCTGTCTAGACAGGGTTTTATCGCATGTTTACTCTCCAGTGTATGCCTGCCCATTTGTAGCAATATTCATTCTCCTGAATTTCATTCAATTTAAAACATCACATCTATTCAATTTAATAGAAATATATATTTATATTCATTCACTTTAATCTTGCAATATACATTCAATTTAATCCTGCAATATACATTCAAAAAAATCTGTATTTAAATTTATTAAGCACACCTCTTTTGGCCGACGTGAACTTTGTCTTTTAATACAAAAGCAAGCAAATTTGTCTTTTAGATTTCAAATGAAACCATTCCTCTCCATTTCGCATTTCGAATAATAGACTCGGGATTACAAAATGTGAATGTAAACTCTCCATCTAGTATTGCTTTCTCGCCCTCTTCGTTTGACAGTGAAGTAACACGGTATTCACGCTTTCTTAGTTCACGGACGTGAGAGTCAATGAAAGAGTTCAATTTGCAAATGACTATTAAGATGGGTTTCTCCAGAAAATTGTGGCTTTTGCCAAGTCGTCGGGCTACTCTCGGTGTTAGAACTTTGGAATATCAAACTCTTCCCATAACCGATAGCAAGATGCAAATACATCTTTAATGTGAATCAAATTGGACAAGGCGCGGTATTGATGCTCCGTTAAACTTTTAATTCAGCAAATTTATCAATCTATCTATTAATGCAGCCTATAAAACTGCTTCTTTCAACTTTTGTTCGTTTATTTAATAATATAGACATTTCAAAATTCAAATGTCTCAATTCAATCAAAACACAAAACGCCTGCGGACAGGCTATGATGTTTAGAATATCCAATCAGAACACGTAGTCTATCGAACCTATAGTCAGCAGCCAATCAACTCTTTGCTTCCATTTTTGAAAGTAATGTGTGGAATGTGAACCCAAAAAATACGCCAATTTCACCAGAGGGTTATCTGTGGTTGTAAATTTATCTCGACCTTGATGTTCAATTTCATCCATGTCTTTGACAATTAGTATCACTCTAGGGGATACGTATCCAACAGTGTCTGGATAATCAGAGGCTGGTAAATCAAATGGTTCTTCTGTGACTTGGAGAGGGCAGTGAATTGGTCTTGAAAATCCTTCAGTTGTACCACATCTGACATATGCCTTATCGTCTATTGCTCGACGGACAACTAAATCACGACAATCTGTGTCATTACCAAAGGCAAGGCGTGTGTAGTTCTTGATGTGAGCTCGATTGTAATGAACATTAACATGACATTGCCTGAAGGTTTTTTGTGTTCTCATATGTGACCAAAAGTTCGCACCTCGATGTTGCTTTGCTTGTCTACTGCGTTTGTTACGGCATCTTCCCCAAGATCTTGCTGTTTCATTGCTCTTGATGAGCCTTTTACCATGTGCATCTAGAAACTTGTTAGCTATTCTTCTCATGTCCCTTTTGTGAAGTCGCTTCCCATCACTTTCCAAATATCCAGTGCCTTCCTCACCCCATCTTCTCTTGTGTGCTTGTAATTGTTCTTCCAATACTTTAAAAATGGCCTTCTCTGCTCTTCTGTCTATTCTGTAAATGCCTTTGTTTTTTCCCTGTTGGGACTTTAAGGATTTTTTCCAGGAATGGAAATGTCTTCGAGCAATTCTTTTCTTTATCGTTGGTGGTCTATTCTTCAGGTTCATCACACGTTGCCGCTTGAGTTTTAAATCATAGTCCCAGTCCTCTTCTTCTTCAATGGCAAGACGTTTTCGCTTTCTTTCCAGGAGATTTTCCCTTTTCTCAATGATTTCTTCCAATCTTGATATGGTGCTTACAATATGTTCTTCTGCATGTTTTTGTGATTCTGTTTCATGCAATTCTGCTTGGACAAGGAAACTGTCTACTTGAGTTTTTATGCTGTTTGCAGTTGATGATGTATAACCTAGTAACTGATGTAATTTGGTATTAGAGAAGCAGCAACAGAGCAAAAATTGTAAAATAACTCTATCTCTTGACGAGGACATCAACTTCAACAAAATTGGAATGTTTCCAGCAATTACTTCAGGGACAACTTGCATGATTTCATCATGATCAGATACAGAGATTACTTTATCTACTGCCTTAATAAAGTCACTGTGCTGATTCGCATTTTCTAAAAGGCACACAAACCTAAGAGAAAAGCATTCATATATTAAATAGAATAAATTTCTCTTAATAATAGATGGTGGAATTTACTACATGGGAGACTTTTATTGGAAAGTGGTGCATTTGCTTAATATACAGAGAAGAGTCCATTTGAAAAGTTCATATTTCCTCCAATGACGAGATGGCAATTATATTTAATAGCTAGGAGTGAGAATTTGTTGGAGTAGAATTTATTTGGGTGGATTTATAGAGCATGGGGTTATAATTGGAAAGGGAAGATTCAATATTTAAATAGAAAGAGGAATTTTAGGTGGAGCAAGTGTTATATTAAAAGAGTAAATTTAAATATACACAATACTACTAATTATTAATAAATGATGAACTTGTCATCAGAAACCACCATCTGTGGTAACAGGTGAGGTTGGGTTTCAAATGTCAGGTGCATGATGCTTGCTGGCCAATATAGACACCCAGGAGGTGAGAACAAATTCAACAAACAAGAAACAAAACAAAAACATTTTATATAAAGCATTTTATATTTTAACATTTGTGCATATGTATTCAATTAAAATGCCTCTTTCCCCTGCTTTCCAAGATGATCACAGGAAGCCCTTTTGCTGAAAGTAAGAGATGTCGAAATCGAACTCTGGCACTCTTTTGGTCCTTAGAGGAGGCCACCCATCGGACTTTGGCTGAATACTCGTCAAAGGCTACGTCAAACGGCAGAATTTTGTGCACTATAATCTCATCCAACAAGCTTGATAAAGCGGAAAGTCTTTTTTATTATTATTATTATTATTATTATTATTATTATAAAAAAAAAACCGATTTGCAGCTACAAAGCTGAATTGCTCGGTTTACATAATGTTCTAAAAATACAGTTTATAAAATTACAAGTTAAAGACTAATAATTAAGATATGATTATATATTATATAGTTTATTAAGACGTATAGGTATTAAAAGATACTACACTACTTGGTATATAACTATTTTTAAAACGGTTGGTACAAGACCAAATGTGTGTAAAATTGTCGTTATTTCTAAGATTGTTAGTACGTTTGTCAGGGAGAAGATAGTACAATTTATGACTTGGTTTAGTCATTCTTTTAAGGTGTGATCTGCAAAGTTCATCTCGTCTTTGTGAAAGATTTGGAAGCGGAATAACCTCCAAGGCCTTCCTGTAAGATAGATCAGGATAAATTATTCTTAGTGCTCGCTTTTGGACCCGCTCGACGTCATCAGAAAGGTATTGGGAAGCACCAAAGTTCCATAATTGGCAACCGTATTCGAGGACTGATCTTATGCAGGTAGTATAGACGGTTAAAAGGGATGTATGATCAAGTCCAGCCCGTTTTAATATGCGTAAAAAATATAGGCGCTTAGAAGCCTTGGATACAATATAGTTTATGTGTGTGTTCCATTTCAAGTCTGTGGAAATATAAGTGCCTAGGATTTTTGCTGAAGATACAGGAACTAGTTTGTGATTGTTTACGAAGATTGGGTCCAGTTTTGGAGGATCTTTCGCAAACGAGATGATCATATCTTTGCACTTAGATTGATTAAGTTTCATGTCGTTCTTTATACACCAGCTGTTTATCGCATTAACAAGGGATTGCATCTTCCCTTGCTCACCTTTATTAATAACTTCAGAGACACTTGTATCATCCACAAATTTCCACCTTCGATCATGCTCAGTAACCAAGTCATTTATCATAATTAAGAAGAGTATAGGACCGAGCACTGTTCCTTGGGGTACCCCACCGTTTACTGCAGACCAATCTGAAAATACGTTACCTATTTTAATCCGCTGTCTCCTTCCGGACAAAAAGTCAATTACCCAATTGATAACGGATGGGTTTATATCCAATTTGCGCATCTTTGTGATTAGTATCTTATAGTTAATCCGATCGAAAGCCTTGCTGAAGTCCAGTAGGAATAAACGCACAGTTTTACCATTTCCATCTGAGTCAGCGTATAGGGAGTGGAGTAAGCTAATTAAGGCATCAACTGAAGAGGAGCCGGGAATTTCTCCGAACTGTTTTGGATCGAGTTTCTGGCAGATGCTATCACGGATCCATTCTGCATTAAATGACTCTAAAACTTTAGATAACGTAGCGGTGAGAGATATTGGTCTGAGGTCATTGTTAATATCCTGTACTGGGTGGGTCTTTGGAATAGGGATAATGTCAGCCGCTTTCCATTGTGAAGGTACTTGAGCTTGGGCAATGGAGGCATTAAAGATAGATGCCACTGGTGTAGCAAGTTCAGCCGAGAATTCTTTTAGTAGCCAATTAGGTATACTATCAGGGCCTGGCGCTTTTGATATTTTAACTTTTTCTAAGCGACGTTCAATTAGTTCTACTGGGATGTGGTATTCGCAAGGCACTATAAGGAATTGCTTATCGAATTTGGAAAGAGGGGGCATAGACTTGTTAACAGCAACAAATGATTCATTGATAGCGTTTGCTAGGTTTTTACCTTCTAATATTCGGTTGTCATTGATCACAGAATGAAAGGACTTATCTGAAGTGTAGCCTGCCAGATTTTTTACGGCTTTCCACCATTTCGATGGATCAGCGGTTTTAAGATGTTTAACCTGAGTTTGAAAATAGGAAGGTTTTGCTTGTTTTATTGCTCTGCGGACATCATTTCTACGTTGATTATACAAATTACGATTTCCTGCAGCTAATGCATGTTGTCTGTCTGATATAAGCTTTTTTTAATCCGGAGTGATCCATGGTTTATCCCTACAATGAACTTTAACCTTTTCCTTTGGCAGGAAGGTATCTAGTCCTAACATAAGTAGGT